GCTTCTCCCCCTCGTCGTAAAACCACCTCAAAAACAGACAGGAAAGGTCACCTGTGTCATAAATAGGGGTGACGGAGGGGGACGGGGCTGAGCCAGGTTCCTCCCCACTCCCCTTGCCAGCCCCAGATGCTCATGGCCCGCCTTGCCCGGGGACTCAAATCCCACATCCCACAGTTAACGTGGACACGGAGGAGCCCCATGGCTGCCCCGTGGCTCTCCTGCCCTTCGTGGGAAGAAAGCTGGGTTCACCCTGCCGGGAAAAATTAACCCCCTCCTTCCTCGGAGGGTGCTGGCCCCATTTGCCCTTCCTCACCGGAGGAAGAGTGTGACGCAGCCTTGCACGCTCACCTGGTAGATGTTCCTCCACGCGGCGTTCAGCGCCGAGAGGAACCTCTCCAGTTCTGTAGTGCAACTAAAGTAGAGGACCCAGGGGGGCAGGAACTGCTTGCGGTCCTGAGCGAACTCCTAAACACCAAGAGAGAAGCCGGCCGTTACCACCGTGGTCCTTGCCCAGCCCTGGGCCGTCCGGCCCCCAAGCACCACGCTCACCAAGATACAGTACTCCTTGCCGGCCTCCGTGGAGACGGCGGTGACGTCCGTCAGCTCCACGGTGCCCAGCGAGCGGAAGAAGCTTGTCTGGCAGTCCTCGTGGCAGGTGAAGGCCTTCTCGTCCGTCAGCACAAGGCAGCAAGGGACGCACGGCGTAGGGGCAACACCCTGGGGGATCACCTGCATGGGGTGGGGAAAAGGAGGGGTTTAAAATCTGGCACGAAGGAGCCCCATCTCTATGGGTTGCCCCATGGGGAAGCCCTCCTGGCTGGGAAGAAAACCGCCTGCTCCATCCCCGACAGACATCCCCGCTCCCGTCGGCGGCTCCAGGCGAAGGAGGGGGTCGATGCACCCACCCTTGGGGGCCTGTCCCCGGCTCACCCCCTTGGAGACAGCCTGGCAGAAGTACTGCATCCAGTCCGCCATGTCTTCCTCGTTCTCGGCACTCAGCTCCAGGGAGGGCCGGTCTGTCAGGATCACCTGGAAGGAGTGGGGCCGGTCGGTGGTGTTGGAGCGCCGGCATCCGCCGCACTGCTCGCCGCTGGGAGAGAGGGGGGAGGATGGAGATCAGCGGGACGGACCGGCCAGCGCCAGCCTCCGTCTGCCCTCCCTGCCGCGGCACGTCACCCCTTTTCCCCACAAGCACTCGTGTCCCATCCGTGACATCCCCTGCGGTTGCTCCAAGGACGGGCTCTGCCTCTGCACGTCGTGGTAGAGCCGGAATTGAGTGCGGTGGGTCCTGGCATGGCTCTGGAGGGGTACGTCAGCCCTTCACAGGCCAACTCCCCATCAAAGGGTGGGCTTGGCGTGCAAACACCAGGAGGAACTGAGCCCGTCTCCAGCTACACGCACCGGAGCCAACGCCAACGGGCATCTGTACCCAGCCAGGAGCAAGCAGGGAGTCCTGCGGCACGATCTGCCCCGAAACAGCTCCCTGAACATCCCGAGGAGCTCCTGAACCCCAGATCCCCGCCGAGTCCGGGCCCACATCCCACCAGCCGCTTACCCCATGTTGATGGAGAGCAGAGGGGTGACGTCCGTGCGGTCCGGGTACTGGTACAAGATCCCGTTGCTGCCGTTTGGGAAGATGAGAGAGGCGGTAACCAGAGTCAGCTCGGCTCCGGCAACTGCACAAACACCCCTGCTTTCGGTCCCACAGCCGCTCCTGCCCTGCCCTCCACCCGCACAGCCCCGTGGGGTTGTGCTCCTGCTGCTGGGCAGCCACAGCTGGTGGCTTTAGCCTCCCAGGTGACAAGATGGGTCCTCTCCATCTCCCAAGCAGTTGCTGGGAAGCAAACGGGTCCCAGCATCTTCTCCGATGAGCCCTGGCTGACCTCAGTCCCGACCCACAGCGCCGGCACCCACCTGAGCACCACGAAGCAGGTCTTCCACTGCTCTTTGCCCAGGTAGGAGGTCCCTGCCTTGTAGTGCAGGATGCCATCCTTGGTGACCGCGTTTTCGGTGGAGGTGTAGCTATTGTTGGAGGGTCCCAGCGCCTCGTCCATGGGGTCTTCCCAGTGAACGAGGCCATAGAAACGCACAACCACGTCGCAGGCCTGCGAGAATCAGGCGGAGAAGTCAACAGGAGCGAGTCACCCGTGAGCCTCCGCCACATGCAGTGATGGCCGTGAAATCCAAACTCACCTCGCACTTGGACTCCTGGGCTACGAACTTTGCGAGTGCCAGTTTCTCCATGGTGGCGTCCGTGAGGATACTGGGGTACGGGGGCTCCCGGCACCCTTTGATCATGGCTGACTTCAAGGAGACCAGGAAGAACCTGAGAGGGAGACAGAGATCTTTGATGAGGCCAGAGCAAAGAGCCCTTCATCTCCTTCATGTGCTCTGATATTGAAGGGGCTTCCCTTCAACATGGGCTTCTGGTCTTCCAGAACAGAGGGTCTCGAAATCAGTCTCCGGACGAAAGGTGATGGGTTGCAAAGTCTGAACTCCAGGAAGGAGACGGGCAAGACTGGGAGACGGACGCTCATCCCAACACAGATCCCAGTATGACCACCCTGCGCTGACAGGACGCAGAGAGACCTGGGGAGGTGCCTTGGAACTCAAGACCTCGTCCCTACTCATCCCAAGTGACACAAAGGACACGCAGTCTGCATTGCCCAGTGCCTGCAGGATTTAGCTGGTGGCATCAAACCAAACCCCAAACACCCTCTGGTCACAGGACTTTGTCATGAAGGGCTGTCACCGGAGCCTCCTGCGTTCCCCAAGTCATGCCGGGAGCGCTGGGCAGAGGTCCCGTGCCCCGGGAGGAAAGCGCCGCGCTTGTGCCGCGGTTTGCTGCCCAGTCCCTGCTTACTCGGTGAGAGCCACGTCCGCGGTGTCGAGCAGGAACTGCTTCCTCCGATTGGTGCACACCAGAGTCACCGTCTGCTGATCCAGCCCAACCTGTGCCACACATGACCAGTTAAGGAAGCCGCGCGGGGGACGAGGGGCGGCGAAGCAGGGCTGAACCTGGCTTCTGGCCCCAGGGGAGAAGGTCAGCGGTCGCTCTGCTGCCCATGTGAAGATAGGAGCAAGCTGGGCACCCACAGAGGTGGAATTCGAGGCGGGGGGGTCACTTCAAACTCTCCCAGTCTCAAAGGTTCACTGGCCAAAATGCTCCCTGGGGACAGAGTGCCCCACAGAAACACCCCACCGTGATGCTCCTGACACTCCTGCAGCTGGAAAGGTGAGGAGTGACCCCCCAGTAGCCTCCTGCTCACCCCAAAAGGGCTGACCCGACCCAGGCTGCGCTCACCGAAATGTAGTCCAGCTCATTATAGGAAACGGCCTCCTCCACCATGTACGGCTTCTCCGCTGCCCCTGGCACAGACACAAAGAGCTGCGTGAAGTAGTGGCAAAGGAGCCCAGCGCTGCCCGGATCCTGCAACCAAGCCGTGTCCCAGGCAGCATGGAGCCACAGGGCACGTCCCCCAAGAAGCCCTGGGACACAAGTCAACCTGAGCTCCCTACTAAGACTCTGCCACCGCCCCGGGGGACACGAGGGAACTGGCAGTGAAGGTAGTGAGCTACGGTGCCCTAATTTATGAACAAGCCACCGATCAAGCAAGCCTCCCTCCCCGCAGCTGAGCACAGAGGCTGTCGGGACGGGATACCTTTCCGGATCAGGTACACGTAGCAATCTGTCAGCAGGACGTAGATCAGCTGCAGGTTCCCCTCCATGTGCCCGGTGCTCATTCGGATCATCTGTGCAGAGAGAGAAGAGCTCTCAGCCCATGGCCCATGCAGGCAGAGCGCCGGTCCTTCATGGGAGATGTGTCACGACAGCCTTACCCTGAACAACTGTTCCTCGTTCTCCCGAAAGACATGGATCATCAACAGGAGGAGATGGTTGTTATCCACCCTGTGAAGAGAGACAGCAGAGGATGGACACAGACGTGGGGCTTTGGGGGGGGAGGGGCGTGTCTAGGAACATCAATCCCCTTCTTTATTGAACTTGTCCATGACTTGGGCACCTCTTGGTCCCCCAAGACCTTTTCCTCCTGATCTTGTGCATCATATTCATCCTGGAAAAGGATGGGCTTTGCCCCCAAAACCAAGGACAAAGGGAGAGGTGCCAGCTTTACCTCAAGATTATTTGGAAGATGCTCCCTCTGCTGAGCAAACCCAGCCTCACCTGAACTCGGAGGGATGGGTCAGCTCCGAAGGGCTGCCCTGCCCTTCCTCCACGCCAGAGTCCTCGGCACTGCTCGGGGAAGGGCTGGGCTGCTCCTTCTTCGGCTCGTGGAGAGCCTGGGGGTTGGTGGTTTCTGTCTGGCGAGTTTGGGGTTCATCACTCGCCCCTCCAGACTCCTCTACTGCCCCAACTGCTTCTCCCTCTCTGCTTTCTTCTTCTTCAGGAGCCTCAGGGCTACCAGGAACATGTGGCGGTTGGCCAGGCCCTGGAGCGTCATGGTGGCCACCACCTGGTGCAGCAGCGTTTGGACTCTCAACGGTAAAGCGGTAGAAGTCCATGGGGGCTGAAATCCCCTCACTAAAGTCGCCAGAGGACGATCCATCTGGGGTCTCCCCTGGCGTGCCAGTCCGAAAGGACTGCCCGGGGGGCTCGAGGGGAGCGTTCCAGCCGCCGGGGTCCAGCTGCCCGTTGAGTCTGTCCATCACCTTGCTCAGCGGCTGCCCCACGCTCTCCATGGAAGTGTCCTTCATCTCGGGGATGCGTAAAGCCAGCTGGCTGAGGGCAGAGCGCTCGCGACCCTCCTGCTGCCCGCCCGGGCTTGGCTCACCAGCCGGCACAGCGGGACCATCGTCTTTCTGTGGCTCTTCCCTGTCGCTCAGCCCGTTCACGCCGCTGTCTCCGCTGGCCTGCTGGGTCTCGGGCACTACGGGCGCAGGGGTGTTCACCGGCTCTTCTGGCTTCGCTTTCTTCTTCTTGCCCGTTTTCTTCTTCTTGGCTAACCTGCATGGTGACAGACCAATAGAGATGTCACTCATCTGTGCCTGCTTACAAGAGTCGCACCCCTTCCCAACAACCCTCCCTTGCAATTTTCCCCACTGCAGAGAAATCAGGAACTTTGCTCAACGTGCGGCCACACAGAGCCCCTGTCTCCATGCCAGCCGTCACAAGAAAAGCAGGGCATGGACACTGTTTCCTACCTATCCAAAAAAGAAAAGAGGCATCAGCTGCTGGACGCAGCATCTTGGGCTTGCTTTGGCTGCAAAGGGGATCACAAATGGATGTGGAGATAAAGTCATGTGGGAAAAATTCCTGCCGGAGAGGAAGACGCTGGGAAAGGAGAAGGTTTCAAGAAGACCTGGGAATGCTGTGTCCTCAGCTGCCAGAAGAGGGAGATGCAGGCTGGAACCCGCTCCAGCCGAACGGCACACCGGGATGCCGGCTGCGGAAGTGATCAGGCCGCCCATGGCACCCAAACTGCTGCCAGGTCACTCTTGTTTGGGAAGTGAGCACGGTGCTCCCCTTCCCTCATGTCTGCTGGAGCTCTGGGTGTGATGTAACCCAGCTCCTCTACTCCTCTCAGGGAAAACCAGGCATGAGAGCAAACCACAGGGCTGCTGGGCTGGTTTTGGGGTGCCTGCGTCACTGGCCGTGAGCAGACGGAGCCTTGAGCTCTTTGTCTGGGTTAAGGGCTCTGAGGGACCCCTGGGGATCTCCTCTGCAAGAGTCAAACGCTGGCCCGCAGGTCCACGGAGGCATCTCCCTCGACCGGTTTAGCCACAGCTCATTGACAAACAAGAGGAAGGACAGGAGAAGAGATCAGAGACCCAGAGTTGCTGCAAACCTGCCACCAGCTGGAGAAAGCTTCAAATAAAAGCCCGCGGCTTCCTCTGAGCTCTACAATATGGACTGTTGGGCAACGGCGTTCATGTCGAGCCAGCTTGTAGCTCTGCAGGCCCAAGGGACCAGCTCAGTTGATACCCACAGAGCATCAGGTGGTGTGTGAAGGTATAAAACCGCTTTTGCACGACTGTATAAAGACTACGCCACAGATGCCGTCTCTGTTGGGCTAGAAGGGATGGCGCATCATCAGCCTCTGGTGACAGATGACACTCAGGGGCACGTTTCCAGGCCAGGCAGCTCTGTCCCTACCTGATGACCTCCAGCTCCGTGCAGCTCTCGGACTGGTCCGTTCCTTCAGGCGTGGCTTCTGCCTTCTCCTGAGAAGCTGTGTGCACCGGCGTGGTCTCGGTGGAGGACGGCGCGTCAGCTTTCTCCTCGTTGAAGGGGTTGTAGCGCTGCGTCGGGCTCTTCACGGAGGCCTTGCTGCCGTTGGCCTCCGAGGCGGTGGAGCGCGGGCAGCTGAGCGTGTCTGTGAGATCTCCGTCTGCAAAGACAAGAAGGGAAGAGCAGGATTAACGTCGGCTCGGGCACCTGGATCAAGTCAAGTCAAGCAAAGCTGCGCGCTGGGGGCTCGGGGCACTACGTGGTCACCGTACTGCTCGCAAGTGACACCACTGCGAGCACCAGCAGAGCCGTCGGACCAGCTTAGCTTCAGAGATTGCTGCGGGCAGCAGGCTCTTTGCGAGGAGGGACAGAGACCAGCGACCCAGCGTCGCTCTGCATTTTGCACCCGCTGCGATTTAGGCAACGCCTGGAAATAACAGCTCGGTCACCCAGGAGCTGGCAGCCGGATTAAGAAGTAGAGGTAACGTCCTCGGGAAGGAACTGGAGGGGTCTTGGGGCCACGGTGCTCCTTAGCAAGATGAGAGCGAGCTAACGAGGCTGCTGCCCCACATTGCTGCTTCTCCCCTGTGACGGGGTCTTAGGAAGGCGCTCGCTCGCGTCGGGCAGAAACGGAGCCAGCCCGCAGAGCCGCAGTCTTTACGGAGCCGGCTGCTTTCCTCAGCTTGCGTGAGACACGTACGGGGGGCTGGAAGTGTGGAGGGGGGACACACAGCATTCACCGGGGTCCGAGGACAGCAGGATGCACAGGCAGGTCGTAGCACAACCGGCCTGGCCCGTGTTAGTCTTCAGAGGGAAAAGGAGCAGTGGAGAAGGGCTACAGGAGTCATGCTCGGAGTTATCCGTCCACAAAGTCACGGTTAAAGGAAGGCTACCCATGCCCTTCTCTTCTCCAGCACCCTTCATTTCCAAAGCCAGCTAGAAGCCCCTTGCTAGGCAGGACGATCCCTTCTGAAGGAAACCACAGCCCTGGCAGACTGATTCGGGGGCGTAGGTTTTGAGTAGGAAAATGAAACCTCTTATAAAAGTCTAATAAAGGCCGTTTTGTGACGGCCGATTTCAAAACGCTGCTTTGTTCCCGCTGGAACGCCTGCCCCGTGTGAACTCTATCGAGGGAAGCGAGTCGGGTAGATTTAACGTCTACATTAAACGGAAAATAAAACATTTAAAAGCTATTTCAGCCCCAGGCTTCTAGCCTGTATCACCAAAATGAACACCACTTCTTTTGCCTAAACCCTGCTGGTTCCGTCGAGACAAAAATGATCTTTGTCCAAAATACAAAATTTCTCCCCAAACTGCATTTGCTGAAAACGAGGATGTGCCTCAACTTTCTTAAGCCCTTGCACGCCTCTGAAAAGCAGAGGGATTTGCTCCCAGTGTCCCTTGGCTTCTGCCAGCCTGCACCTAACACCCACGGTGAACTCGCCCGCCGGGCGTTGGGTCTGGAAATGTGGTTTGTCCTCTCCGGGTGTACATTCAAGCTGCAGGGGCACGGTAAACCATCTCTGTGAGCATCTCTGCGCGTGGGGTAAGAAAGAAGATGAGAGGGAGCGTGTTAGAGCCCAAGAGCCATCCACATGGAATTCAGGTAGAATTTCCCCAAATATTCAGGCCGTACTGGCCAAGGCCATTCGGACCCAAGGCTCCATCCAGCTTTTAACTGCAAAGGACCAAGCGTGGGTGTATTTCCTCTGGGGGTAAAGCAGAGAGGTCTCCTGCTCCCGTGACATGCAAAGGGTACGCGCAGGGACTGCATGTGGAGGAAGGAGAACAAGTTCCTCTAAAATGGGCACGTGCTCTTGACCGTAAAGGCCAGACATAGCTGAGAAGTTGGTTTTAAAAGTGGTAAAATTAAAAAAAAAAACCAAACAAAACCAACACCATGTAGTGACCCAAACTGAGCACAGGGATGTGCTGGATGTTGTGGCTTCAAGAGAGAAGTTTTGATACATGGGAGCTGGGTCCAAGGAAAACAAACGTGGCACTTCAGGACATGGTTTAGGGGGCATGGTGGTGTTGGGTTGATGGTTGGACTTGATGATCTTGAAGGTCTTTTCTAACCTTAATGATTCGGTGAAACCCTCCCAAATTTATCCCCGCAAAAGGCTCAAAATTAAAGAAAGCAGAATTCACTTGGCTGTTTTCCAAGGCTTTCAGGAAATCAGTAAAGGTGGATCAGTTTTTCAGTCAGCACCCTGCGTGCTTTACCCCAAAGAGGAAATCTATAGCCGTCAGGTCACGCTCATTTTAGACGTTGGACATTTTGGACACTCATCCCTGCCCGCCAGCTTCACGCCGGGGCCGATTTTGTAGCTTTTCTTTGGTAACCTGGTATAGAGGCTCCTTTATCAACACAGGCTGTAACGTATCGAGCAGCCACAGAACCGTACTCAAAGCTCCAGCCTCGCGTCTGCAACGCTGAGCGCTGGGGCAGACACATCTAGAAGACACGGATGCATCATCAGAGGCAGGAAAACATCCCTCCGCTCCGGAATATACGGCCAGGAGTTGGGGAAAGCTTTGCACGTGGTCTCACGGATGAGACACACAACCTCCCACCTTGGGGGGTCTTTTCTGCTCCTTTCTGCCCCTACTGAATTCCATCAAGATGTGGTGGTGGCTTGTTAAAGAAATGAACCGGGGAGCATGCAGCAAGCTTCAGGTGGCAGCAATGCAGAGAGAAAAACAAAATCTTGTAACAGATGAGTATGTCCCACCTTCCCAGTCTCTGCTGGGCATGGTCTGCATTGCTGGAAAGACATCTCCAAAATCATAATCTACAAAAACGAGGGATAAAACTCAGGATTAGAAATACAAGTAGTGGGGAGAGAGAGGGGACAGGGGAGAGTGTGAAGGGGATTTGGGGAGGGAGCTGGGAAAGGAGAGAAACAAAACATTCTTCCACCAGTATCTGAAATGCATGAGAAAATAGTTAGGGAACATGGAGGCGAATGGAAACCAGCTGCACTAATGGTTCTTGCTGCTGGATGTTTGCGTTACGGGAGCTACAGCGGGACCAGAGGAGGATGAAGCCCCATTATGCAAGCTGCTGGAAAGTTCAAACAGATAAATGTTCGGTGTCATCCAGGGCTTGTGTACTTAATCAGGGATCCCCTCTGGGAAGCAATTTAATCGCTCTGTGCCTCAGTTTCCCCACGTCACACTTACCTCCCATAGATACTGTGATGTTTGACTCATTAATGTTTGCAAAGCCAGGGGTCTGATTAAAGGGAAAAACTTGTCCTCTGATCCTAAAATCCCCAGCTCCACCTACACTCCCAGGGTAGCGAGATGCTCCTGTTGAAATGACGAGCAGTGAAATAGTTATTGAAGTGAAATTCCTCCACGCCGGAGGAACAGCGGCAATGCCTGCCCTCCTGGGCTCAGACACCTCCACCGTCCTGGTCCTGCAAGAGGGGACGGCGCTTCTACATCAGCACCAAACCCCTCTACGCACGGGGAAACTGAGACACAGACCGCAACCGCTGCCCGGACACATGCAGTAGCTTGCGACGATGCCAAAACCAAAATCTAGCTCAAAAATCTCTACTCCAAACCCCTCTTCTCTTGAGCATTAAGCTTCCATCCACGAGATGGGCTGGAGAGCGTAGCCAAACCCAGGTAACACTGCTTGCCCGGTCAATAGGGACAGGTAGGAGATGTGCTGGCACTAAGGCTTGTTCTGCTGAGGGAGTAACAGGAACACAAGCCCGGGGGTGCAGCAAGCACTGAAACGGTGGCTTATGCCAAACCTCTGGGGTCAGAGAAGCTTCCTCCCGTGACTTTTATTGCTAGGCTCCTCCTGCCATTTCCACTTACCTGGGATGCTGGGGCTTTGGCATACGCAAGACCCCGAAAGGAAACGCTTTCACACATGCAGCATGAGCGCAGATGCCACGGGTGAGCCCAAAACAGTGCTGTGCTTCAAAGCCCTTTGCTCAAGTGATGCTAACGCCCATGCCCACATCTGCGTCTTGCTTCCCGGGCTGTTCCTTCTCAGCATCTTTAATGTCTGTGGTTTCTATCTTGCATGTAAAAGCAACTGGCAGACCCCTGTCTCAGAGGGAACCCGTGCGTCTGCGGACTCAGACCCGAATTCACTGCATCCGATTAACCGCACCTATCACCCCATCTGTTCCAGAATCCCCCGATCTGGCTTTGTTCAAACTGACATCAAAAAAGGAACAGGGCCAACATATTTTGGATTAGGAACAGCGGCGGCAGAGCTGTTCCTTCATGTGAACGTGCTTCACGCAGCGTAACAGCTCCTTGCTCCAGCCTGACGCAGGTTAAGGGGGCAGGCACAAGGTACATGTCTTCTCGGTTCATCAGGAACAACCTCCAGCCCTCTCTGATAGGGATAAGGGGGTGAGTGTGACAACTATCAGGCTGTTCAAGTTAAGATGCTTCAAGAGGAAAAACCAGCACCTCGGAGACCACTGGCTGCCTTTCCCTCAGACTGCAGACATGGAGAAAAGACTCTGGAAACTATTCCCCACCACCTCCAGCATATTTGGGTGTTTGGACTGCAAAATAAGCCGTTAAAGTTCCTCTGCAGCTCTGCGTACCTGCTCTGAACTGGAAGCGATGTTCAGGTACAGACACGAGCTTCACTCCATCGGGAAATTTCTCCATTTCTTGCTAAAACACACCCCCCCAGGATGGAAACGTGGCCTGAGGTGACTAGCATGGGAAGCCCTTCTCTCCTGGTTCGAGGCAAAGCTGGCAGCTTAAATCCCAGCCCCTCCCAAGGCAAGACAAGAGAGATTCACAGCCTAACTGCTGGGTCTCTCGCTTTGGTCTCTTCCAGCCCACCATTTGCCACCTCATTCGGCGTCTCGTCCGGTCCAGCAGCTCAGCCGAAGGAGGTGTGGGGGCACACAACCTTGACCGCACCCGTCTCCAAAAAACCACTGACCTTCGCTGGATGGAGCGATGGCGCTGTCGTCCCATTCCAGGTTGGTGGAGGTGACCGAGTTGAAGGAGTTGAGGGACAGGCTGTCCGAGCCGTGCACGGAGCTGGGCAGGCGGGCCTCAAAGTCTAGCAGGTACTGAGGTTTGTAGTAATCTGGCATGTATGGGGCCAGATCCAGGTAAGGAGCGTCCTGCAGAGAAGGGAGCATGGGGCGAGTCAGGTTCTGAGTCACCGCACACAGTTATTAGCACAGTTGAAACAACGGGGCTGTCCTCGAACGTGCTCTGGCTGTCCATTTCTGCCGCCTTGCAGAGGAAACCCGACGGCCCCACTGCGACACCGAGGGTTAGCCAGCGGCTTTGTGTTTACCTGGAGGGACGCCAGCATTTCGTACCGCGCTTGCAGAGCTCAATTCCTTTATCCCCGTCAATCTGCCCCGCAGCTGGCTTCCCCACACCTGCCCCGCTCCTCTTCTGAACAGTGCAGAGGAATAACTGAGCAATAGGAATAAATCCCGTTGCCGGATCTCCGAAGATCCCAGCCTAGAGCCTTTCCTAGAAGTGCCGGCTTCACGTTTTCTGCTGAAGGCCAATGAGAAGGTACACCCTGGACCAAGCGGTGGGACCTGTCGCACCCAGGACTCCCCCCGCTCCACATATCTGCTCTCCCAGAGGCAAGAGAAACAAATAAAACACTCACCAGATCCAAGTCAAAGCGGATGAACTCCAGCCCGGACACCAGCGTTAAGAACAAGGTGAGATGATCGTGACTGCAAACCAAGGCGTTCCTGCGGCGTGAAGAAAACAGAAAAGTTTTAGGGATGTGGGAAAGAGCAGACACAGCTACAAGCGCCCTTTCTGTTCTCTGTGTGTCTCCAAGCTGCCGTATAAACAGCCCCAGAGCTGTGAGCCTGCTGTTTGCCTCCTAAGAGCAATGGCAGAGCTTAAGGGCAGGTATACGTGGCTCAGAGCAGGTGGGCATCCATGATGCGCTGTCCCCAAACCCAGCTACAGCCAGATTTCCAGGCATCCACCGGAGCTGGGTCCCCGGACAAGAGCTCAGCAGCTCCTTGGAAAATGTGAAAGAATATAGAGGTTACATCTGGGACTGGGAGTAAAAGCAGTTAACTACGACAGATGCATGCAAGCCCTTATATAGGGCAGTGTGTCCACATCTGGGACCTTTTAATTAATCATGCAAAACCTCTGCAAAACCCACAAAGAAAGATCAGACCCCGATTAACTGCTTGTTCCCCACAGGAAAATGAGGGTTTGCTCCTGACAAGAAGGGACAGCCATCAGTGCCCAAACGAGAACGAGCTGGGATACTCACTTGACATAGTACTTGTGCAGCAGGCTTAGGTTCTCCTGGAACAGCCTCAAATAACTCTCCAAGGAGTTTTCGTTGAGGGCTAGGTACAGCCATGCCCGGCCTGAAAGAAAAGCAGCAGAGAGATTTATCTGTGGGGAAACGCCCGAGAAGCAGAGAAAGCCTAGAAATAATCTCAAAACAGTTAAAACACATCAGATCATTTTTTCACATTCGCATCATTTCAGGGGAGCAACTGACTGGTGGGGAAATCCGTGGGGACGAGCGTCAGCGGGAGATGAAGGGGCAGATAAGTGATTCAGAGTGGGAATAAGAATAATAGTAGTAGCTGGTTGAGAAGCAGACACACAACTCTCTCCAGCAAGATGGGAGCCCTACTGGCATGTCCAGCAGGGATCAGGAGACAGGAGAGATGGAGGGAGAATCGCTCTAAATCAGCGCAGGTGCAATTTGAGATATTACACAAATTCCTGTGCAGAGAGAGGTGATGGTGGAGTCTGCGCTCAGCTCCGCTCTCACCGGTACGGGGCTCGGGAGATGAAGGGTGTTGGGATAATCAGGCAGAGAGGAAGTCTCTGGGCACCGTCCTAGGTCAAAAGCAGCCTCGATGGTCCCAAACATCTGCTACAGACAACTCGCAGCAGGGGAGAAGCAGCATCAGGCAAACGACAGCTACAGCAAGAGGTCCTGGGGCGACAGAGGTGATGCCTCCCTTCTGCCAGAAACCCTTCCCAAGAGCGGGGCCCAGCAGATCGCTTCGGTTTCCTGGCAGCGGAAGCAGGGCTACGTCTCTGACCCAACCCTTGATCCTGAGGCACAGGGCAATTATTTCTAGAGCCGTCGTGCCAGGACTCCCACCTCCTTGGCCAAAGCAAGCCGGACTCAGCAGGGAGCTGCCCGCTGGCTCCCTCAAATCTGCCTGCAGCCCCAGCCCTCGAACACACGGCCAGCACAACCTGCCTGGGCCTCCTGCCAGATGTCCCCAAAACCGAGCTTTGCTCTTGGAGCCGGGGCAGCGTCTGCGAGTACTCACTGCGTCCCAAGTTGGTGGCCACGTGTTGAAGCACTTCGATCTGTTTGACGGCTTCTCGGCGGGTGAAGTGAACGACCAGCACCCAGTAGCCCGAGGAAAGATCTTGCAGGCTGGCAGAAGAAAGAAGCCCAGAGGAAAGTTAAGCAAGGGCTTCGTTATCTCCATCCCAGTTGCTGCCTAGGTAGCTTCCCCACGCTGAGGCTACACGCTAGGCAAAGCACGGTGAACAGCCTCCCAGAGGGAGGCTCCACACCTACCCATAGAGCAGAGCATGGTCCAGATGTTCGCAGAGCCGCTGCAGGACCTTGTCATGGTTTCTGATGGCTGGCGTCTCGTCTTCACAGGCAGCAAAGTAGCTCTGCAGCTGCAAAAAGAAGACAGAGGATGGCTGAAACGCCCTTCTACAGCCCACCAAGGAGGCAGCTGGAGATGCCGACACACTCACAGCCAGGATGAAATAGCTTTTTTTAATCTCTCAACTTGCTAAACTTTGATGCAGGTTACTTACAGGGTGTAGCAATTGGTTTTAAGAGCACCCTGAAGGCAGTAACTCCTAAGGAGAACCTCACCCATAAAGGCTCTTCCACGTTTCGGAGACAGGCCAGCGGCGTGGCCGCAGCCGCACAGCCTCCTCCTTTACAGCAAGGTTTTAGTGGTTCCTCTGCAGCAGTGCAGCCATCCCAAAGCGGTTC